ACACCCCCTGTTGAAGCAACACCCTGCAATCCTGCTTTCCCTGGCGTAGGGCCTGGCCACAGTACTCACCAAGGGCCTGGCTGCACTACTCTTGAAAGGTTGAAAACGAGAGTGAATCTTCCGCTAGAACATGGAAAGATACACTGCCATGATTTTTGTCTTTTGTGCATTTCAAGAGTAGTGCAGCGAGGCCCCAAATGTACAACATGAATATGAATCTTCCCCTAGAACAGGGAAAGATGCACCACCATCATTTTTGTCTTTTGTGCATTTGGCGAGTAGTGCGGCGAGGCCCATAACATCGTTTGAGTGGAAGCCTTGACCTTCTTCCCCCGAAGATAGCGCACGCTCATGGTGCCTGTATCCAACCGAAAAGATGGCCTGAATACATTCATGATCGCATTGATCGGGTGCGTTGTGTTCAGGGAAAGAAGGTAGGGCCTCCTTCAACACCATTAGGGCAAACTAAGACTGACTACCGTCTTCAGCCGGATAGGACGCCCTGTTATGATTTCTGTATTTGGACCAACTTGGAGTCTAGATGCAGTGATAATGACGGGGCATTCTTTGGGTGGTGAAGATGGTAGGGCTTTCAGATACATCCAAGGAAGTTCTGAGTAAAGGTGTGCCCTTAGTTTCCTGTTTTGGGTACCGCTTCCTTTTCCCCCCCCCCTTTTTTTTCACTCTACCTCATGTAATGATACCCAATAACTATTAGACTCTAAAGGGGCACCCGAACATTGAAATACGGTCAAATACCCAATTTTTTATTTATTTTTTAATTGAATGCCCTTATGTTGTTTGCAAACATAAATCACATTGCGGTGGGAAGAAGAGTGTACGCATGGGAGGCAGCATTTTTAAACCGAAGAAAGAGGTGTCTGAAATTTATGAAAATTCAAAGTTCCTAATGCATGCCCTCAGAGAAAGGTAAGGGCTTCTTGTCCAGTTGATCTAGCTCAGTGGTTAGAGCACCGGTTGGAAATGCGCATTGTGGTATGAGGTTGCGGGTTCAAATCCGTAGCCTTGCGCATGGACACCGGCAGGGCGTTAGAATGATGCACGGCTGGACACACACCCCCTTGGGATGACGCAGGTTAGCTATTGAAGACACTGCCTGCGCACCACCCAAGGGTTGTTCATTGTGTTGTATGTTGGTCCTGGGTTTCACAAGGGTTGCTTGGGGGTGTTGGTCTTGGGAGTGCTGTTGATCTCCCCACTCTGGCATATCACACGTTCGTGGCATTTCCACTAGTCGTTCACATGGTAGAGTCATTCGATTACACGTTACAAGGTCACGGGTTCGAGTTTGGTTCGGACCTTGGGGGGGGTACTTGTCCATCTTACCCTGTTCTCTCTTCGATATACACACATGATGCTGCCTATACATTGCTTCACAGAGCACACACAGCCTTCGGGCATATGCATTGCTTGCAAATTATACATGGCCTATGGGCTACATACACAAGTTTCCACACACAGTGCTGTCTGTACATCTTCATACATCGATACACGGAGCATACACAGCCTTCGGGTATCCACATACATTGCAAACTACACAACTATCAGACTGGGGGGGTCTAGTCACTGGGTGGGGTCTAGTATCTGCAGTAGGGACAGGTATGGGCCACCGGAGTTCCTACTGATATTTGGATAGAACTGTCCAGTGGCTATATATAAGGCTTAGACCCTGGAGTAAGGGTAGGGTGTGACGCGCAACCTCACGCCCTGTGCTGTCTTCCGTTCGGAGTGTTAGCTGTGCCGAAAAGAGGCCCAGAAAAACAGCAAGATGGG